TCAAACAACAAAATATCTCTTTCTGCAGTCTAGGGGTTGTGTGATTTATTTTTTTCCCCCAATAATGTCCAAACTGAGTGGAGATATTCTATAAGATATATCCTGGAGATCTATAATTCTTGTCTCTGAATATGCTTTCACAATAGGCCCTGGATAAATTGCAGAAGTACAAACAAGCACAAATAACTTCATGTCTTGCCTTCTATTTTTAACAACCATTAAACCCAAAGGTTATCTATGAAACACATAATTTTCATTTCTCTTTGTTGGTTTTATCTGGCCCGAGAACTTAATAATTACATATTCATTGATATGCAGGCACCTCCAGCAGTATAGCCTTTCTATCATTATGTAGTATGTGCATCTATATGATTTATGAAAGAAGAAAATTTGCCAAAGTTAAAGAAAGATATTTTAAGGAGCACGGAGGTTGGATTTTGATGGAAGAGATCAAAGAAAAACAAGGTCATGCATTCAAGATATTCACGAGCAAAGAATTAGAGAAGGCGACCAATAAGTTTGGTAACAACCAAGTCCTTGGGAGGGGAGGACATGGAACAGTTTACAAAGGAGTTTTGGAGGATGACCGCATTGTTGCCATTAAGAAACCTAAATTTATAAATGAGACCAGCAAAAATGAATTTGGAAAGGAAATGTTCATTCTATCACAGATCAACCACAAGAACATAGTTAAGCTGTTGGGTTGTTGTCTGGAAGTGGAGGTCCCAATCCTAGTCTATGAGTTCGTTCCCAATGGGACCCTGTTTCAATTTGTCCATGAGAATAAGAATACATATCCCATTTCCTTGGGTGCCCGCCTACAAATTGCTTATGAGTCAGCTGATGCTCTGGCCTATTTGCATTCATCAGCTTCACCTCCGATCATTCATGGAGATGTGAAGTCCTCTAACATACTTTTAGATGAAAATTAGATGGCAAAAGTTTCTGATTTTGGCGCTTCAAAGCTAGTGCCGCAGGATGAGGATCAGATTGCTACCCTGGTGCAAGGGACTTATGGTTACTTAGATCCTGAGTACCTCCAAACATGCCAATTAACAGATAAAAGTGACGTTTATAGTTTTGGTGTAGTTCTACTAGAGCTGCTGACCGGTAAGAAGGCGGTTTCTTTCAAAGGATCTGAAGAAGAGAGGAGCCTCGCAGCAAGTTTCATGTTGGCCATGAAGGAGAACCGCCTTCTTGATGTCTTGGACAACCAGGTGAAAAATGAAGGGGATATGGAACTGATACAAGAAATTAGCGAGCTTGCAAGACAATGCTTGGACATTAAGGGAGAAGAAAGGCCAACAATGAAAGAAGTGGTGGAAGAGCTAGGCAAATTGAGAAAAGTCATGCAGCATCCATGGGTACCAAACAACACTGAGGAGGTTGAGAGCTTGCTTGGTGAATCATCAAATGATCACGGAATAAATTATCATGGGACAGAAACAACTACCTGCTACAATTCTGAGAAAAGACTGGCATCAAACATCGAATCTGGAAGGTAAATTTACAGAACCCCTCGTTCTTTTTTTTTTGTGTGTTCCTTAGAGTGCATCTTAAATAAACACTGGTCATAAGTGTGCCTGTGATTGTATGTTTATGTGAGTGAGTGCGAAAGGGAGGAATATTTCTTTCCCTACTGCTACTGAATAATGTTGTATGTAATAAATGATTCTCTAGAATACTATTATTGGAAAACTTTGTGAAATAAATCTCTACACCAGAATGATAATATTCTTGTCTTTATTACCCTACTTCCAACCATGATTGATTGTTCATTAACAAGGAATGGATGAACAATATCATGTCAACCATTCTCAATCAAAAAACCTACAAATTGTTGAGTTTCTATCACTATAAATATATCTAACACGTTGATTCTAGATTCAGCTATTGAGAGTAAAGTGACAAAATTAGACTCCATGAGTGATGTAGAATCCCCTTTCCCTTTCTCCTAGCCAAAAGTTAGGTTGATGATTTGTTAATCACAGTGTACATATATATCTCCTAAATCCTTGGAAAAGAAGACTATTAGATAGCAAAAAACAATGCTCATCCATCTAGGTATAGAATTGTAACACAAGCAATTGGCCATGATTAAGAAATTACTAATAATGTTAGGTTTTCTTACCATAAGCTGTAGCCGACATGTGCACCTCGCTGTGTAGAAGTGGCAGCATCCGATGGCTCTTGGCTTCACGTTTGTGCCGCGATTCGAAACTGTAAGCCGATGAGAGGGAAGAGATTTTAGGGAAGGGCGGCGAGGGCAATAGGGAGTCGAGGGAAGAGAGAGAGGGAGGACTAGGAAAAGGCCTTGTGGTAGCAACTGCATCGTGAAATGGAAACAGAGAAGTGTGTTTATGGTGGTCGATGTGTATATATAAAGCTTATATTTCAAGTAAAGAAGTCCATGGTCTTTATCAATCTGTTGGAGATTGGAGAGGTTGAGTCGGTCCACCTCAATTCGAGCTCTGTTGAAGGCCGTGACTGAGTTGGTTCGTTCTGTTGTATTGTTTCTGAAGCAGTTACGGATAGCAATTGGTTGGGTCGGCGGGTTGGTGGGACTTGAGGCGGAAACGATTTAAAACAGTAGATTATTATTTTTATTTTTTTATAATATTATTTATTTATTTTTTATATATTTGAATTATTCGTTTGTAAAGGACATTTCTGTATTTCTTTCTTCTTCTTTTTTTCTTCTTCTTCTCTCTTTATCTTCGTCATCCTCAAACTTTTATTATTTTTCTTCTTCCTCTTCTCTTGAAAGGATAGTATCAAAGAAGCCATAAGTGAGATTGTAATATGAGCTAGGGGATGATAATTGACGATGAGCATAAACTCGAGGGCGGCCATCAACAGAGAGCACGAGCTGAGAATCGACAATCAATGATAAGGAGAGTTAGGGATTGTCGACGGCGATAGGGTGCATAGGCGATAAACACGAGATGTGAGGAAGGGAAGAATAAGTAAAATCAAAATTAAAGGATTGCAAATAAAATTTTATTATTTTATTAATTTTTTAAGGGATTATGAATAATAAGATGTTGTCAATAATAAACAAAAGGAACTCTAAATAGCAAACTCCTTAAAAATATAATACCATCCCAACCTTGGGTGTAAATTAATTTTTATTTAAAAAATATATTTTCTATATTTATTTTAAATAGTTTTAAAGTTATCTTTTAAATTTTTTAAAAAAATTTACTATATTCATTTTTGATATGGGAATGATAATTGATCGTCACCTCAGCATTACATGACTAACACAAGTCCAACACCTTAGCACCACAAGAAAGCTATGGGATTGATACACTACCAACTCATGTCCAACAAGTGATTAATATGTGTTTGACACATGAACATCATGAGGACGTTGTGTGATCGACATACAATCATCCCCTTGATATCTTTATTAGTGACATATGATTGACTATAACCAAATCAAATCAATTGTAATTGCCTTTCAAATTCAATGTGCCACACAATGATAAGATTGTAATTAAGCCTGAGAGCAATGAACGTATAATTACTCTCCATAATTATTGATGGTCTTGAGATTATCCTTATAACCCACTATAAAAGGGGTTCCCGAAGTGCCTTATCCCACAAATTAAAATTTTATTTAATAACTGATCTAAATTATTTAAATCATAAGCTAACCAACTTAAATATTAGAGGAACATTGGTTGAGAATACTCCTAACTTAGTTTTATAGGATTGATATCTTCAAAGTCGAAAGAAACTATGATCGAACTTAGACCGACTCGAGAAGAAATCTCAGTTGGTTAATAAATAAATAAATAATTTTTATAAGAGTAAAATTATTTTTTTATGATTTAACATATAGAGACTAATAAAAACGATAATATTGGCACCACCATAAAATCTATCACCTTAGGTCTTGATTGCTATCCCCCCTTGATAGGGAAAAAAAAAACTATGTAGAGATAGTTGTGCCTACATCTTTGGCGACTGAGATAGCTGTGCCTATAATATCAACAGTGGCTGTGTGACGACATCAGTAACGTCAATGGACGTTATGCTCGCTCAAAGGTTGTGTCATGTCATTGACAAACATGTTATCGATCACCTTAATAGAATTATATCACCCAAATGCTCAAAACTAGCGATTAAACCATATTATCGACCACTCTCAGATATCTCTATGATTGGCTTAACCATCTAACCACAAACATTTATAACTGATTATTATAAATAATCGATCATCTTCTTTCTTCTAATCAATTAGAACCTCCTAAAACCACTAAAACATTTATATCTTCTATCTTGACATCGGAGTAGTCAAGACTTAACTGATTTCGATCTTTTGCATGTGTCTCGATGGCGTATTGGAAGATAGAGTGCTCCACATCGATATCTCTATCTCTATTCCATATTTGTAGATCTTTTCTCGGTACAATTTCTCGATATCTCGGGATTTCGTTAGCCTGTTCCGATGTCGGTCTCGAACTATAGCGAGTCGTTTCTACCTTATTACAACCGACCCAGCATCCTTACCTGCTACCACCACGCTGGTGGAAGCGTGGTGGCATTCGTGTTCACACGTTACCCTAAAAAAAGGGACCCGCTGATGGAGTCAAAGAATTCGGCTGCCGATCCTCTCCGATCATACATCGAACTCGAACCATACAATTCCAACATCACGACCGTCGGTTGTTGGGACCCAACTATCATCAACAGTGTGTTCCCATCGCCGTCTCTGAATCGGGTCCATGATCCCATCCCAAGTCGCAAAAATGGTGCGGATCCTATCCAAGAACTCGGCCGGTGAGTTCCCATCACCCACAACTGGTGGCGCCAAGTTTAAATAGACCGTCGGTAACACTGCAAACCGCACCTACTTGGATAGGATCCCCCCCCCCCCCCCCCACCCCAACCCTAATGGAAACAAGAGAACGACCTCACGAATTTAGTGACGCCATTAATTCCAGAAAACACCTAAAAATAGAAATAAAAAAGTAAACTGAAATAAAAATAAAAGAAGGTCTAATTTGGCAGCTCAAAGGGGGAATCCGAGGGAGGAAGCGAAGCCGCCTCCTGTGTCGCCTTTAGGGTTCTTTCTACTCCTCCCTCTGCCCGACGAGGGGATCAGTCCATTACATCCCCTCTTTCCTGTCGTCGCTTGCCGATGAAAAGTAGAATGACGGTCCGCATGTTTCGGTTATTGTAGTTTCTTCGGCGGATCGACGATTACTAGTTTAATCTTTCAATCGGATCGTATTGCATGGCCGGGTGGAAGCAGTCGAAAAGGGTCTCCTGGGCCAAAGAGTTGCATCAGGTAATATTGAACCGAATCCACACCCAGCCCCAAGTATCTCGCATAAGACTTTGGGTTTGATTGAATTCTTGTGTTATCATGTCCTTCAAATCGTTGAGTTCTTGTTTTTTTCCTGTTCGTCTGCTTTTGGTACGATTATGTTGTGATTCCTTTTTCGTTTTGTTCTTATGCTCGCATCCATTGTTTCAATTAGGGTTTTCTTCTCTTGTCTTTTACCCAGTTGGTAAATCGATGGGGGAGTGTCGATGGGTACATTGTTTGTGTTGTGATCTTGATCCGATGTTGCCGTTTGTAGAATGTTCTTTGGTAAATACCTGCCTTTTTTTATCACCGGCCTATCTTTACATTCCATTGACCACAGAAAATAGAAAGTTTGCGTGGTAGATGTTTCTAATTGGAAATAGATCTGCCAACTCTGAAACGGAATCTTTTTATTTGGTTTTAAGAGAATCATGCTTGGATTGGCTCACTGGTCGATTGATCTTTGTCTGAACCTTTACCTTAGTATGTTTTAACAGGCCTTGGATGGAGATGTGGCATGATGGATTGGACGTCCAAGCCGATTACAAACTTTATTTTGGTGCCTTATTAGCCTTGTTCAACTTCAATATGCAGATAATCTAACACAGAAGTTAATGCACAGACTACATCGCCTGGCCCCAATCAATGGAATAAATGATTGGCGACCAATTAATCGATGTTAAACAACTAACCAATTCAATGAAAAATGAATAGCATATACATAGCAACTTATATCGCCATGGATTATCAATTCAACCATCTATCAAGATTGGTACCTTGCAATGCTGCAAGATTTTTCTTGAAAATTTTGCACAGCAGTCAGATTGGAAGATTAAACTTTAAAATCTGACAACGAAGCTACTACTCCACATGCTTAACGAGATTAGTCTGAGTAAGATGAAAACTAAAAGTAGCAGTAGCACCGCCATCTAAAATAGTACAGAAGAAGATAACTTGTAATGACTTTCTTAATTTAACTGCTTGAGGATAACACAGAACAGAATTGTTGTCCCGATGAAATGCTGTTAATGTTTTTGTATGGGTAAAGAAATGGGAGTCTTGATCAACACTTGCCTGGTAGAAATGTCACAAACAATTGCTGAACTCTTGACTAAGGGGATCACCTATATCTAAAAGACTTGAGCTTTTGAGTCTTTCTTGACTCGGAAGTGCAGAAGCTGTTCGTACTTATTCAAACTTATTTCTTTTAGTTGTCAGTATGAAAATTGATATAATAGAATTCAAATATAGATGACAATGTAGATCGCAGTTGTTTCTGTGTGGTGTTATAGAAGTAAAGTGAGGACATGGTTTATTATGTTGCCTGCAATATTCCGGTAAAAACATTGGAACATCGCAAAATTAAGAGAAGAAAAGGTAGTACATCTAAGAAGCTTTTTTATGTATATACTTACCATAAGTTGCAAACATGGTACAAGAAACAAATAATTGAGGCAACAATTTACTATTAATCAAACCGCAACCTGTAAATCTGGGATTCCTGTAAGGACTTATACAATTTTATTGGAATGTAAAGGAATATAAAATTTGAGATAACTTGCAAACATGTGAAAATCATAACTGCTTTCTATAGAAGAAGCTCCTTGTAAGTGTTGCTTTAGCAAAAATCATTATTTACTAAAAGATCGAGTCAAAAAATTGTAGTGCCAGTACAGTTCTATAGTACATGTTGGTTGATGGAAGTTGAAGCTTATAAAATATCAACTGACTTTAACTTATGTCAGATCATCATCACAGGCACAACCATGATTTGGATCACCACCATCATGAGCAACTAATGTAGTTGAAATGTATAATATACTCATACTAGACTAACTTGAAAGAATTATTCTGGATCATTAACTAATTTTATATTAGTTGTATCAACATCAATAAGATTCTGAAAATGTAAATAAATTATTTATTATGAAAAACCATGTTCCGTTTTAGCTGACTTATGAATTATTTTGAAAACTCATCGAACAGTTCTTTTTTATAATATAATTTTTTGCACAAATTTAAGGAAAAAATTATAATAAACCATAACATATTAAAATAATAATAATCAAACACTTAAACTTACTGAATGATTTAATTTTTTAAGGTCAATTGGTACAAATTTGACTGATCGAAAACTTCGCTAATAGTTGATTTAATTTGTTAAAATCAATATGGAATTTCAAAACCTTATTGATGATAGGATAACTCCTTAACAAATAAGAACATTAAGCTGTAAAGCTACCTTATAATTGAAGCTCTGAAGTCAAGTTCATATAAGTCCCTGGCATAAGCTTTCAAAACGATATATAATAAGTCAATACTTGGCTAATTTAAACATAAGCAGATTTGTTTTGCGAGCATCAAAAGCTTAAGCCTTTCTCATTGGCCTCCTTTTGTTAATTCTCATATCATTCTGTTAAATCATCCAGAACAATCCAACAGCAGGTGCAATTATACATACCCATAAAATGTTAATTGAAAACTTGGCTAATTGATGATGGGAAAAGTTGTAATTGATAAATAAAAAAATTAATTGTAGAAAGCTAAGACATAAATGAATCTCTCAAGTCAAGTTCGTATAATAATATGGTAATGATAAATAATAACTCAGATACTTGGTAGATTCAATCCACAACAAGTTTGTTTTATGGGCAATAAATGTATAAGCCTTTCTGTTTGGCCTCCTAATGTTAACTCTTTCATCATTCTGTTAAAGCATCAATAAGCAGCAGTGCAAATGCTATTTCACCATACTAGCAATCAAGGGCATGTCACACAATATATAAACTATAAGCTCATTTACCTGTCCCTCCTTTTCCTTTTCCCTTTTGTCTTTTCCATGGGAGGCTTACTGTGACATTAGTCGTGGGGCTTGAGTCACCCTGCTGCTAATGTCCAAGACCAACTAGTTTTTTCTTTAACAGATTGATGAGTGATCAATTGTTCATGAGTCCACCTGTTCCTTGGTCCTGTAGCTACCATCCGTTAAAATTTTAAGAGATTGAACTTGAAGAAACTGAACAGAAGGGGTTCTTCATCCATCACAAGCCTGCTCTAGAAAATGGCAATCGGATATGTAACAGTATTGAGCTAAAGTAATACTAAAGAAACCAAAGCCACAGATGAACAATGATGTTAACCCCTTCATCTTCAAAACAAGATAAGAAATCTCCATATGATCTGGTAACTAAATTGCTTCTTTTTTTGCATGTGGCAAAGATCATTGTTGTGCTCGTTGGTTCCTAATAGTCAATTCTTATTTGAAGTTTAAAATCTATGTTATGCTTGTGTTGTAGAAAAAATAAACAAGGTGATAGGTCAGGATTGATCCTGTCCTTATCCAAAGACATGTTGAATGATGTTATTTAAGTTTCTCGAAATAAGTTCCTAATGCTGATATGATGATTCACTAATAGAAACCTTAAAAAAAAAAAATCAAAGATCGACTGATATTATGTTACCATTATGTCATGTGAATTTGCTGCTTGTGTTGCTTCTCTTTCTCCAACAAGCAATAAATTAAGCAAAGAAACAAATTATAACTTAACTACCTGAAGACTTTGAAGTTTTAGTCAGTCTACAGCTTGTTTGTCTAGTAAGTTGAGGCAATACTCAAAGTCCATACCTCTTCCAGGACAGGATGGGCTACAGTTTGAAATTTGCAATTGGACATGGTGCTTGTTGTTTATAGGATAACATGGTCAAATATTGTTTATAGTGTTTTGTTGGACTGTAAAACTTCATGTTTGGCAATATGTTATAATTTATCGATCCCATTTGCTTATTGTTTTGGGTCTTGGTTAGGGCCCTGATAGAGAAGGAAAGCTCACAGTTTAATCTTTTTGCATGGAGAAAGATAGTGTTTAGCTGCTAACCCGTTGCTTTCTTCTATCTCTTAAATTGTCTGTTTTCTTATTCTGAATTCAATTTGAATCGCCAGATCAGGATTTTCTTTTCTTTTCTTTGCTATGTCCCAAATTAGGGACCTATGTTGCTTGTCGTATCACTCTTCTTGATATAGTTGTCTCACAGGTCAATATTAATTCTTGGGCAAAAACTTTTCAGTTGTGCATTATTAGCAATTTTAGGGCTTGTTAAATGTGGTAGCATCTGCCTTTCCAGGTAAGATTATTCTTAGCAGAGGATGCCCCCGCTATTTCTGGAGCGGGGACCCAAGACCATCTCCAAGCAAAGGGTTCATGGTTATTGCATGCAGCAAGCACAGGCAATGATGATTCTTCTCTACCTCCAGGCTTTGAAGCACCTCATCCTGCATACAAGCTCAGATCTGAAATCTCACAGATTCCTTTGATCAAGTGGACATGTCCTATCCAAGTAATGGATAACTTATTCAGTTTGTCGGTTCCTAAATAGCTTGAAATTTAGTTATATCATACAGAAAATTTCTTAAGTCTGTATTGCCTGTAACATGTCACTTGCTTATCTTTTTTCCAATTTCAGGTGTTAGTGAATCCAGAGTGGCTAGTGGCTGCTGGAGAAGAAAGTGCTGAAGTGGCTGTACAGAGTCAAAGACAAGTGAGTCTTCTTGAAGCAATTTATCCACGGTTGACTTCTGTTCCTCCAAAGTAAGTTGTCTTTGTTGTTAACATGATTTGCTATCTTTTACCTGCCTTGTCTTTTCACTAATGCCAAACCTGAATCTAAAAATACAGTCCTTCAGTTTCATCCGAGGTACAAGACTCAGTTTACAATGACTTCCAGACTCCTGTAATTCCTGTAACTGCTATCGAAGATGAAGATTCATCAGAACAATTCGAAACAGCAAGATCAGCAGCTGCATCTCCCCAAGTCCAACAGACAAATGATCATAATTTGCAGGGCATGATTAAAAAGCATGATCTTCCAAACCTCAATTCAGTTACGACACAGATCCAACATCGTGATGTGCAGACTATGCATCATGGTGAGACAACTGCAGGAAGGATTATTCAGATTGCGAAACCAGATGTCGCCACTGCTGCTTCTGCAGCTTTTACAGCAATCATGAAAAGCAGTGAGGATGGAAGCATGATAGATCGTGACCTTCTTATTAGGATCCTCAGTAACCCCAGCTTGGTGGAGAAACTGGTTTCAGAACATGGAGCTCCTAAACAAGCTCGGGTGCCTTTGGCTTCTGCAGCAGTCTCACATCCTCATCCCTATGTACCAGTTCAGGCACCGGCTCTTGCTCCAGCAGTCCCACCTCAACTTCCCCACATCAATACTGGAACTTGTTCCCCCTTCCCAGTTCTTCGAAACACGCAGATGTATCCTTTTCCCAGTTCCATGCCGCCCCAAGCTGCGAATTCTCATGCTTCGCACATTCAGATCTGTGTCCAAGCAGCAGCAAAAGATGCAAATTATTTAAAAGGTTTAGTCCATCAGCATGGTGGTGAGAAGCAAGATTCCCCAGATCTCAATTTTGTACATGCTGCTAATTACCAAAACAACATTGCGGCCACAAATGCTGTTGATCCTTTTGGGTCTACGCAGCAAAGAGAAGCGAAGCCTAAGATCCCAAGGCCTTGTGCCTACTTCAACACCCCTAAGGGGTGTCGGCATGGGGAAAGCTGCTCGTATCAGCATGTCCCTTCTTTACCGCGGCGGACGGAGCAGCCAAGAGGATCAAAAAGAATTAAATTAGATAGAGGAATTGCTGGCAGGAACTATTAAGTTCTGGTCAATCCGACGTTCTTTTTCTTCTTTCTTATTCATTCGTGGCTAGTACATACGCAGTGATCTTCACTGCTTCCCATCATTATTTTTGCTACATTTTTTTCAGTGCAATGTAAAATGACAAAGTTGTCTAGAATTCAGAATCTGTGCATTGATTATACTTCATTCATTATGTTTGTGTGAGATGATTAAGTTTAATTATCCCATGGCAACAAATTAATATTGTTGGTTTTCTTCACATCAAAGCAAAGCAGCTGTGAAATAGCCACAAGCGAATCAGCAATTGCTATCTCATGGATGACAGCGGGTTCGTCAAGTAGGTACAGGATCGGGCAAATTTGGAACAATATCGACCGTCGAACAGCATGTATTATGGCTGATATCGGCGTTGTGAGCTCTCTTCTATTTTTGTCATAAAAATTTTGCAGGTTTACTTGTATGTGGTGTTCTGAATATTTTTTGATGTCTATAAAATTGCAATCTTACATATACAATTCAACAGCACAACAACAATGATAGTTTGCCGGTATGCTCATTTTCTTATAAGTTCACGAGAGATTACATATTGAGAGGTTAATCTCTTACGAATGGATATCGTAAGAGCTACGTCCGACTCGTGCAAAACTATCCAACTCATGGCGGTATGCATACTGTGCAAAGGACGAGGAGAGCGAGGAGAAGAAGAAGAGGACGAGAAGGGTTGTCTTTGCCTCACAAGATTACAAGGCGGGATGAGCGAGAAAGAGAGTATAATATTTTATTAGTGAGCTTACTTACCTCTACAAGTCGGAGAGTAAACACATAAAGTGGCTTCGAAACTACTACCGCTTCCTTCCAGAAGGAGTTTAACTTTGTTTCTCATGATTCTCATGTGAAACAACTAATAATGATTCTCATGTCGTCCAATTAACTTTGTTTTTTTATTATTATTTTTAAATGATGATATAATAATATAGTCTTCACTTACTAAATTAGATATATATTTTTGAAAAATATAAAGAGTGAGATTTTAAAACCTCGACGTTTAATAAGTGAATTTACTAATATTTTAGATGTACAATATGTGAAATGAGGTTCTAAATCTCAATATTTAGTAAGTAAATCTCTCGCACTATAATCAAATCAATATCACAGGTGTAAAATATAGGTTTTGAATCAAAATTAATTTTGAACCAAATCAAATTATATCTATAGAGATAACATAAATTATATCTAAGAACATTATGCAAGTCATGAATATCAAATCATATTCAAGAGATCGCGAGTATCAAATTGAATCATATTATTCAATCGATCTCGCAATCATATTATTCGACTCAGATGAAGACTTGCCGCACTCAATCATGGAACAAAATATAAAGTTATCAACTTGGTCTTCTTGATGCAATGATGGATGATGAAGATCTTATTGTCTAATCCTTAAGAGGATTGGGGACAAAATATAAAGAATTGATTGTTGCAATCCGCAACTAAGATAGTCAAATATCTTTTGAAGAACCCTACAATAAGATCATTGATCATGAAGAGTTTTTAAAGAAGGATGAAAAGGGTGATGCATTCACTGTTAATGATACCTGATTTTTCTGAAATGATGGTATTCAACATCGCCCTCCTTTACAATGTTGAAATCAATATCATCAAGGAAACATCTTCCGGTGAGTCTCACATTATTTATCAATATTGTGACAAACGAGGATATACTGTTCATAAATGATATAAGTTATTCCCTCGTTTACGCCCAATCCTACCTACTATTAGTCATATTGCCATCAAGCCGATCGTTTCACAAAGCCAGATATAAATGATCGGCTCTACTACCTCTCATCATATCATTATAGATTTACAAAATTTATCTCAGAATCAAGCTTGTAAAAGACCAAATGATGATGTTATAATCGAGGATGATATTGATTTGCTCAACTTTCCTCTCATTCTAGAATATTTAATCTTTAAAAAATCCTTTTTGTGTTTCTTCTATCTAACAAAATTTAATTTCTATCTTGTTTTTACATGATAAATAGAATATTTATTGAGTTTTTTACTACTACTTATTTTGTTGTGAAGGATCTCACCTCTACTTATTTATTGAGTAATTGGTATCACTGTCTTAGATATCCCTCTCCAAAAACTTTAGCTATTTGTTATCTTTATCTTCGGATAATACGAATAATTTTTCTTGCGATTCCTATTTTTGTAATAAAAGCACATATTTACCTTTTGGTATTTCATCTCTTAACAGCTATAGTCCATTTGATTTAATTTATACTAAGGTGTGGAGTCTTGCACTTGTTACTTAAAATGATGATTTTATTTATTATATAATTTTTGTTAATCATTTTACGAAATATCTATGGCTATGGGGGAGAATTTTAAAATTTTTTTTTTCTTGAATCTCATGGTATTCAACATCTCAAAACTTTGTCATATACTCATGAAAATAATGATTTTACTTAACGACGGACATTTGAAACTAAATTTACTCTTTTGCATACTATCAATTTATCTCTAATTTTTTGATCATATTTCAAACAATTGTCTATCTCATAAATCGACTCCCCACAATTTCACTTTATTTTCAATCTTCATTCTTAAAATTATTTAAATCTATACCTAATTATTTAAAATTATAAGTTTTTGGTTATTTGTGTTATTCACGGTTACTACGATCATACTCACTCGATAAACTTGAACCTTGCTCTCGTCTATGCATGCATTATTCTTGGCTATTGTAATGCACAAAGTGCATACAAATGTCTTGATTTTTTACTAATGAAGTCTATATTTCTAGACATGTTTGTTTCGTCGAAAATGAATTCCCCTACCCTAATAAAGCCACCGTTCTCTTCTTCATCACCAGCTATCATGTCACCCTCTCTTTTTATTCTACCCACATCTGAATCCACTTTTTCGTTTGCGTCTACAAATCCACAGCCCACTAACACGTCTTATGCAACACCATGAGCCACCCTAATGCATTATTATTCATTTATCACCATGAGGGTCACATCATAATTTTATGATCTTATTATCACAGACAATAGTACACTCATTACATATGAGTTCCTACTTAAATAAGCTCTCTTTTAAATATCTTAGTGATCTTCATTATTTCTTGGGTGTTGCTAAATGAATTTTTCTTTCTCAACACAAATACATCAGAGACTTACTAAATAGAATAAACATGCATGGAGTCAACCAAAGTGAAAACTCCCATGTCTACTTCAATATCTTCTATTTTCAAAGATGGGTCTTCTCCTACATATGTCACTCAATATCCAAGTGTTATTGGTTCTTTACAATATTTATTTCTTATACAACTAGATATTTCATTTACGGTTAATAAACTTGCACAGTTTATGTATAATCCTAAGTAGATACACTGGACTGCTGCAAAGCAATTGCTACCATAATCAAAGCATACTTTGCATTGTGAAATTACATATTCACTGTGACCATACCCTTCAAAGTTATATGATGTGGATCGGGCAAGTAACCAAATAATTTTACTTCAACCACGGCCAATATGTTGAATCTCGAATTTTGATGATGAAACCAATTGATAAGTGTTTATGATTTAATCTGCGTTTTAAGTGACGTAGGATGCTTCGATCAGAGAGAGACAATTAAAGTAAAATGAATCATGTTGGGCCGGAGGAAAACGTGTCAGAAGATTGGACGTCGGGCCGAAGGATCGGTTGACGTATCGACAGAAGGCTTCAAGCCATGGATTCGGGCATCGGGCCAAGAAGAGCGGATATTGCGCCAAGGATATTGTAGTTGCGAAGGTCAACTGGCCGATTAGGTAATAGGCCGCAAGAGAGGACGATGCATCGAAGAATCGGACGAAGCATCGATGGACCAATGACATGCCGAACAACATGATTCATGCTTAGTAATAATTATCTAGATCGAAGTGTATTTTTGTATATGCAGGATTAATTACGATAGCAAGGCATAAAGCAAAATGAAGTCCCGGAGTCAAGAACGCGATTTCGTTGGGAGTTTGAGAGTTCGTCGAAAATCTGGACGTTCATCGGAAGTTCTGCCGGAACCAACCGAGAAGTCCAGGAGCTTGCCAAAGAAGCTCGTCGGAACTCGCCAAGAAGATCATCGTGAAGTCCAGGAGCTTGCCGGAAGTCCGCCGAAATATTGTCGAGAGATCGTCAAAAGTTCGCCAGAAAGATCGCTGGAAGAAATCGGACTTATCTTGCTTAGAATATGTCTTAGGAATCATAGTTAGCATATAATTAGAGTTAGAATTGGGAGATAATCCCATCAACTCTGTTAGGGGCCAACTAGGCCCCAAGCTAGATTGGTTTGGGCCGGATTCAAGGCCCAACCAAGGTGCTGAAATCTTGGTCGGTGGTGGCACCGCTTGGGGAATAGCACCCCAGGATTCCTGGGCAGTGGTACCGCCCCTGTTCGACGGTGGTACCGCCCAATACCAGATCCTACGACGATAGTACCGCCCAAGAACGAGGTGGTACCGCCAGTACATAGGAAACCTGGGATGAGATCTTTTTAGGCTCCAAGTTTGAATCGACTTGAAGCCTATAAATATCTCTCTTATCCCTGGTTAACTAACACAAGTATTGAGAGTAAAATGGAAAGAAACGCTGCTGTAATCTTGTGTGAATCTCCTCTCAAAGTTCTAAGTGTTAGAATAGTTTGAGAGAGGAGTGAGTGGGGGTGTAAGGGTTATCTCCTAAACCCGGTAAAAGAAGAATCAAGTTGTAAAAGGTAGTTGGTCTTCGCCTATTGAAGGAAGACCGATAATGGATGTCGATGGCCTCGACGGAAGAGGAATCGATGGAGTGGATGTAGGTCACGACGATCGAACCACTATAAATCGGTTTGTATTTACTTTGAGTAATTTATTTTTATAGCAAACTATCTCTCCTCCTTACTATGCTATTACTACGCCTACGCTCGCATAAGCTTTCAAGCTATCTTTACGAAATGGTTTTCGTCGAAAACGATTTTATCGTACGAAGGTTTTTTGAACCGACGTAATTTTTACCGCTGCACTAATTCACCCCCCCTCGCCCCGTTCCTAACATAATATTGTATATCTCGACTGTAATCATATTTCTTGATGTACTAAAAAGCAATGAATTGAAGCTGAATACCAACCACAGTAAACTTTTATGGATCACATCTTTTGTATCTAAAATGCACATATTGCTAAAAATTTCACTGGTAATCTATTGTGATAATATTGATGTCATCTATTTATGCACAAATCTAATCTTTTATTCTCGAATGAAACATATAGTTATTGACTATCATTTCATTCGAGATAAAGTATCAATTTCAATACATGATCAATATCAGTTCTTACTCGTATGCAAGATTGATCTCCAATGGGAGTATCATCTTGCGTTAAATCAAATCAAATTATGTCTATAAAAATCACATAAATTATATAAAAAAAGATTATGAAATATCACAAATATCAAATCAATCATATCAAGAGATATTATTTCTTGATATCATAAAGGATTATTTATATATTCTTCTATAATCATTTCATATATTTTATTATTAATTAGCTAAGTTTTGATGTCTAAATAAATGTATGATCATGTAACACAAATCATTGAAGTGAATTTACAATTTCATAATCTCTAATTATCTTTTGGTTCTCCAATTCTTTCAAACCTACTAATGTTTTATATGCACAAAAATATATCCCCTGGAATTACAAATAATAAATGAATTTAGTATACCACCAGATTTGTAATTCAAGTTGAGCATACATAAAAGTGAGCTCGATGCTAACACGAGATAGAGGAAGCAAGATTAGCTTATGTTAACAAACAAGATTATGTTAGCTTTAGCTTTCAGATAGAATGACAATGATTAAAAATTTGGGCAATAAAACTATTAGGAACATATGATATCGCCAAGAACAGGTAGCTAACTGCCAGCCCAATGTTTATGGTGGTCATCAAAAAGATGAGATAGCCTGTCTTACAGAAATACATAACAAAACTTGCAACATACATGCATACAATAAATACATTAAACTCACCCTGTAACAAACGCTCAACAGCATCAAACCTTGTACCGCGCACACACAGTTCATTCCAACATATCACCTGATGTGTAGGAGCTTCTCAGTATTGGTAATGTACACACCACTACATTGTAAGCTCCTCTTCCAAGCCCAATGAGCTTAATTAGAAGCCGACTCTCCTACAAATATAGCATTAGCATCATTGCGTTCAAGTATGGATTCGGATCATATGTTGCTCTTGAGGCTTGATCATCTTTGCCATCTTCTCTCTGTAGAAGATAGAACTTAAACGTGTCAGATGGTGAGAGAAGCCAAGTAGTTAAGGTCGACAAAAGGAAAAAAAAAATAGTATGTTGGATGATTATTAAGTTTGAGAGCTCATGATGCAGATAATTATCAATTTATTATCCAGAAAATAAAATTTTCCTCGTGCAATATCTAGAATGCAGCAGCACAAACTACCAACATAAACAGTGCATTTCCACTCCCAACTAGAAATAAGCATTTCATTAGGAGGTTATTTATTGTACACCTAAAATAGGGAGATCGTTCATGTTATAATTAAATCACATTTATTAGCATTTCACACAAGAATGCAATAGAATCTGCAGCACCTAGTGTTAATGGAATCAGTAGCTCACCAGCAGAATTATGAGGAGAATGAGCTTCGTTGCCCTTTGCACTCTGCTGGGCTTGTGATGCTGAACTTTGCATGTGTGGCGATGAATTCTGCTTTCCATTTTCAATAGGCAAGGAATGTCTTTTCTTGGGCTGGCTATCATGCAGATCAGGGCTGGATTTTGGAGATGTATTAACATGGGCTCTCGCTCTTGCAGATGCAGTGGCTTGCATATAACCTGGAAGAGAATTGCTACTACTGAGCCTAGGTTCCTGATCAACATGATCAGTCTTTGCTATCCCAAATGAGTTACGCCGCTTGAGAATCTTTGAATCCTTAGTTATACGATCTGTGCTACTTCTTCCACTTGAATCATTATTGGGTTTAGAGGGTGATCTTTTACCAATCGATTGAGACCTTCGCCTCTCAGCAGGTGTGTCATTGTCTTTCTGACTCTTTTTGGCATTTACAGAGACATCACTAGATGGGGTTCCATGTAAATCAGGGACTGTCGCAAGGCTTCTGGGAGTTCCTTCAGGTGATCTAGCTTGTTCCAGCATACCTTCCACATGAGTCGGTACATTGGAATTAGTTGGCTCAGCTGGATGTTGATCAACCTGCGGCAAGTTGATGGAAGCATTCAAGTTAGCCATTGACTGGTCAGTTCCATCAGGTCTCCTGTTGGCACCCAAGTTAGAAAGGTCAAAAGCATTCTCAGCATCAGCAATAATGGCATAATTCTCTTTCTCCAGGGCTCCGATTTCAATAACAATTTCCCCACCTTCAGTTTCAGATTTGTCTGGTGAGTCAAGCGTTGAGGAGATAGATATTTCAGTGCCACACTCTGAAACTGCTGCTTGAATCCTTGAATCATTGAATATCAAATTCTCTGCTGAAATTGCTTCATTGTTATTTGTAAAAGAATTATTCTGAATACTATGGCTCTCTGTTTTTGATTTCAATGCAGCAGCAGAACTAACAGATCGACCAACATTTGACATTGAACTCAGTTCTTCAAACTTTGACTGAGCTGCAACAAATGCTGGATTGCATGGTTTTCTTGAAACAATCACAAATTTCTTGCCTTCCTTCTCTAGTGTTTCAGAGGATGCCTTTTCAGCACTATGCTTGGAACTGTCTCTCACAGATTGAAGCTTATCAGGTACAGTAGTAACTAATATTTCCAAACTTTGATTTGGTTGCAATTGTTTATTATCTGATACACAATCCATATTTTCCTTATTGACCATCTTGGTGTCCGTACAATCTTGGGACATGGTGTTGAAAAGCTCATTTTTCAGTTCTGAATTTTCCACATCAACCCTCAATAAAGGATTGAATGAATTATTTGGAGCAATTACTGGAGTCTGAAACTCGAAGTTGCCAACATTTTCAATCACTGAACTCCTTTTACCATCTGCCAGGATTAGTTCTGCTGGAGAATCCAATAACAATGAGGAAGCTGCATATGGGTTCTCTTTTGCTGGTTCACTCTCTACCATATTAGCATTCTCTTCTACTGACCAATTGTCATGATTCAAATTTTGCTCCTGTTGTTTGCCTACTCCTGATGATATTAAAGCTGTCCATATTTCCAACCACTTCCATGCTGAATCAGACTTTGACGGATCACATTTTATGTAAATGGATTTTGTCCTTGGTGTAGTTTCCAAAAGCTTGGAAAGAATACAAAGATGAAAGCTCACACTGTAGCAAATCAGACGGAGAGAAATCCAGTAAATCAAGAAAACATAACAATTAGCCATACCTGACGAACAAGGCCATTTGAGAGTAATAGCTTGTTTGATGCTTTATTTGATTTCACAAAAGAATCTCCCTTCTCCTAAGAAAGAATGAAAAAAAAAATTAAAAAAGCATTTAATATCATGTTATGGCATTAATGACATCCTCTGTCCACATTAATCAGTAAGATGTGATGTACATGCTTGGTGAAACGCTCAAACATGTGCCTGACAAGTATTTACCTTCCACTAGAATCCTCAACATCAAATGCCACTAGCATTCTCGATATCAACTTAGCTATGACAACACCCTGACCACCATTAGGACCATTGTAATGAATTAACACAGAATACATTTTAAAAAAGATGAATGATAGAGATTGTGCTAACGCCACCAAGTTCATGAGGATCTGGAGCCTGTTTCACATAGTTGTGTGCATACAAGCACTGGTTTGAAACAATTGGCACATAAGCAGTGTCAAGATCAAAATAACAGTCAAATATGAATCAACATTCCCAGGAATGACCAATGACTAAGTAGTTCAAATACAAAAAAGAATGGATTCTACCATGCTAAGACCCGTCCATAAAAATTGTCAATTCAAGGACTCATCTAAGTCCAAAATGAAAGCAACACATCAAAAGTTCTAGAAGTTCTTGAGATATTGTTCCATAATAATGATCAGGTTAGTAGCATGTATTTGTAAGTTCTAGCGCTCTACTATTCTAGATTTAAAATGTAATTAAAGTAAACATCTAAGTCCAAAATGAAAGCAACACATCAAAAGTTCTAGAAGTTCTTGAGATATTGTTCCATAATAATGATCAGGTTAGTAGCATGTATTTGTAAGTTCTAGCGCTCTACTATTCTAGATTTAAAATGTAATTAAAGTAAACATCACTAATAATTTAATGGATCTCTGGTTATCTACCTGGAATTTTTCTTCTGGTGAAGTGAGCTTCCCAATTAACTTATGAGCATGACGAGCCCTTATAAGTGATTGCATTCTTATGATGGCCTGAATACACCGCAAAGATCCAATTGCCTGCCTCTTGACCAAATATCCACGTATAGCGGCTTGCAACTTGACAACAATCTTGAGTTTGAGGAGCCTTTTCTCAGCCTAAAATTATCTTTTAAATATAAGAGAAACTAAACAGATGTGATAGAAATAATACAAGATTCAGAATAAAGTAAGTTTATACCAAATATGCCCTTATTGCTGCCTGAATAACAATAGCATCGTATTGACTGAGGGTAGACCCAGCTGGGGTTATACTTCTGTTAGAACTTGATGGAGGAGCTTCAGTATTTACTATGCCTGATGACGATGGAGCCGTTTCAATTGGCTTTTCTTGTACTTCAGCTCTTTCAGGTAAAGAATATTTTGGTGAATTGAAATTAATAGTTGAGATTTCTTGGTTATCCTTGATAGAGCAAACAGAAATAGGTTCTGAGACAGCAGTGTTGCTAAGCACTCGATGCTTGGATGATCTCCTACAGAAGCTCCACCTATGCTTGTCTGATGAAGCTTTGTCCTGAAAAGAATTATATGATATCCGCTAACCAGCTAAGCACCAAGAAGAAGAAGAGAACTTTTGAAGCCAACAAAAGTGTCAATGTCAACATTTATGTTTTGACCAATGCTACTTTTAGTTTAGAGAATAGACACCCAAAGTAGCACAAGTTAACCAATACATGACCTGAAGACATATCAAAACCAAGCATTAAATCAAATGCAAGCTTGTAAAACATTCAAGTTGGTCATAGTTAGCTAATGCACTTACCAACTAAACGATGGGTACATGTGACTAGAAATGCCTTATCAACTTGTACTATTAGCTATAGAAAACTTAGTTTATTGAACTATCCTTGAATGAGAGTCAAAGTATCGTTTTGAGGCCTTCACATCAATGAGCAACAGTTTGGTCCATAAAGTGTTGTTTTGCGACAATGATTTGGGTGATAGCTCAGAACATAATTTGGTCCATAAACATCATTTTGTCGCAATAAACACCTCTCACCATGTTCAAGCTGCTAAAGTGGGAGACTTAAAATATGCTTATACTGCATCAGTCCATCACCCACACTCAATGTGGCACTGCTTCAGGATATTACTCATTTGCATTCTTCATTTCTGCATTGGCTCGATGAGCATGCAAAAGGATGTCGAATCACATTTTTGTATTTTCCTTAAGATTCCTGCACAATTTGCGCCATGCTTAAAATAGTTTATTTTTGCTTTGTATTCCCATGTTCTATTGTCACCTGATAAACTTCATGCCTTTTACTTTCCCGATGGATGCTTAATGGATAATATTTTATGAAGTTTGGTAGAAGGAAAATGGTACCAATTCATGAAAACTACCAAAGATAACAAATACCAACTTTTCATGAGGGAATCTAGAAATCTACTCTGATGTTATCCATGAGCAATTGCAATTATTGACTGTTTCAATCAGGATTTGCAGACTACAAATTGACCAAACAAATAACATGTCCCTAAGCTCTAACTGCAAGTAGGTGTCTGATTCCTTCTAAGTTTAGTGGCATAAATGATATAACATATATTGACTGAGTATGCGACAAAGTGAAAAAGTAAAAACAGGCTATAGTTCTCTCCTAACACTTCCTATGATGCTGCATTTTGCCAATCTGAGGCCAGAAGTGCAAAATAGGATTTATCATCTTCCTTTTTCCTCTTTCCTTGGTCTCCTGTAAAAAAGGGAATTCCGACAACGAGGAACCATGCCAAGTAACAACTCCATCCAATTCACCCGGTTAAAAGTGCATGGCCAGGATTTGCTGAGCCGGATCTATATCAGCGGCGCTTTAGCATTTTCGTACTCCACAGGCTGTAATAAGTTAGCACTGTTCAGTGGCAGATGAATAGAGTACGAGACTCCAGTGAAGAACATCCTTGCTTCCAAACAATCCCTTAACAACCCTCCTCCTCGGATCCATAGGATACAGATCATCCACTTAGAACCATACACTGTAAGCAAGGAATCAAGATGCAAACCGGCTGTCCCAACCGTCCACATTCTCAGAAAGCACTAATAATACATCAAGCAAACGAAAAATGCAGCTCAATAAGTCGCTGATTAGCTAATCGGGAAAGAATTTCTGTTAATCTAGAGGAACCAAAACGATTCCTCATTGTTTGGGATAGAAATGGCACTCGAGAGATCCAGGTTGACGGATCTGAACCAAGGCCCAGCCGAAGCCGGATAAGACAAAGATCCGGCAAGCTTCAGTTCAAACACGCCAGATCGATCAGACAAGAATCAAGAACAAACCGAACAAGAAGATCACGTTACCTCTCCGTGCGCTAGCTCGTCGTTGTCGACGGCGTCTCCGCCACCGCAGCCGATGATCTTGAAGCATGAACTGTTGGGCCTGGCCATCTCCTCCGCCTTCTCGGTCTTCTTGTTCTCCGATCGCTTTGGCTCTAGGTTCGGATTAGGTTTTGTCCTTGAGACAGAGAGAGAGAGAGTCTCTGCTCGCTTCTTCTCGCTCTGCTACAGTGAGAGTTCGGTTTTGGCAGAAGAGCTGCTACTAAATCGTAATTTAATTCAGTACTTTATTCCCTCTTCTTCCCTCGAAATGCCGGAACTTAAAAGCGCCTCATCAAACCCGCTTGAATCCGCCCACTGGCGTCCGCTCAGCTTTAGTTCACATACGTCGGCCACCCGCCTCTACAACCACCACCATGCAACTTACCCGACCCAAATCTGGGACCCACGGACGGCCCCTCGTCGTCGCAATGTGGGTAGTACCGCAGGTCTGTTTGTGTAGATTTCCTGGAGACGGTCCGGCGTTACACTTGCCGCTCATGACGATACGATTCTGCACGCGGCAAGGTGTTCGTTGAAGCTTGTGGCGGTCACCACACGCGCGAGATATCGTCCACATACGGCCAATTAGTATACCAGATATAACGGCACCTCGTGAATATGGTATTTGTAGTCATTATTTGTCGTCAGTCCATTATGATATTAAAATTTTATGTTTGAATTTGATTTGATTGAAATTATGAGTCCATTTATTTAATTTATAATATTTTAAAATAATTTTTTATGATAGTGACCAAAATAACAGATCCAAACACTTCAGTATATAATTGGATCAGAGGACCCTTCACATCGTCCTTGGGTTTTCTCACGTGAAACGCGCATGCGAAGTTCCGTTTGCGCTTCGTATCTCACATCATCGTCATCCATCGCGGGGGAAAGGAGGAGGCACAGGAGAGACCTGTTGCGCGTGAGGTGTCGGTGGCGAAGAGGCCATGGCAGGCAACGTGCTGACACATGCACATGCAACGTGGACCGTCAATCATGCACTTCGGCGGTGGGGCCGTGGCCGCCGACCGTCCGATGGGAGGAAGGCAGCTTCATCAGAGGCGATGAAGGCCAGAAAAGGGCTTGCGCCTGCCGATTGGGTTGTCGCCGCCAATATTATGAGGGTTTACGATGCTATTGATAATTATTATTGGTGAGGTGTACCGATGCGCAGTCTTTTGTTGTGTTGTGGTATGGGGTTGGGTTGGCGGGGGCAGCGACAGCCTACACCACGTTGCGTGGGAAAGGAACGGATGCCTCAGTCTCAACAATCATGCTTACGAGTGGGCCCCTTTAGGTTTGACTCTGTTGATTATAAAGATTTGAAGGTGACTCGGTGGGCACATCGGACACGTTCGAGTCGAGTGTGGCTCGGGGAGTAAATCTCACGCATCAGCGGCCCGCGGCCACCGACAACAGCGGTGCTGTGTCAGTGCGGGAGCGGGTGACTGTTTCCGCGGCTTACATCTACGTGGGTGTGGGTCATGCCAGGTGTTATCGTAAGCTTTATGTCTTGTGAATAAAATTGGTGTTAAGTGTCGAGAGAGCCACCAACTAAGCACATTAGAGTGACAGATGTCGTCAGTCATTGCAGAATAGACTTCAGATCGAAGCGGTGTTGATACACATTGTTAATGCATTTGGAACGTGGTTCTTGAATCAGGTGGTTTTGGTTCTTGAATCAGAACCGTCTACCATATTTGTTATTTTTATTTTTATTTTTATTTCAAAATATCCCTCGGGTTATCATTTAGAGCAACATTTGACCGTTTAAAATTTGTTAACTTATTCGAAATCGAATCATCAAAAATCGATTTCTGTTTGGTTTTGAACAGTTAAATCGTTGACCCAATTTAGTTCTAATTCTTGATCGGTTCGATTTCAATTCTGTTCTAGTTCAAATCAAATCATGATTGAATCTATATTCATGTACCTTATGATGTTATAAAAATCATATATGTTATATTATTTTCAAATCTTAGTCTAAGGGATTATACAATCAATCCAAATAGTAAAAAAGATAAACAATATTAGTTTTGGAAAAGATATAAAAGTTCAATGAGTACATTAAATTGAGTTTAAGTATTTTGGCGGAATGAATTAATGAGTTACATATTTTCTCAAGACAAGTTATTATTATTATTATTATTATTATTATTATTATTATATATATATATATATATATATAATCATAAGTTATATTTTTATAGTGAATGATATGATTTTTGCTTTATTTTATTATTTTGGCATCTTTTTTAGGATATTTATATTTCAAAATTTAATATTTATTTCCATATTATATATATGTATATATATAAATAATTTGACTATTATTTATTATGAACGAACTTATCCAATTGAATGTTTCAGTCGAATCGGATAAGATCTATTAAAAGGAAACACGCTCTTCTGAAAATATCGGAGAGGAATAACAAAATTGGAAAAGGAAAATTAAAAAAGAAAAACCTTAAGGAGGTGGAGCAAAGAGAAGATCCGAGACATCGGTAACACTTGGGATTCCGTTCGATTGCCGAGGGAGGAACCAGGATCTCTTCCGCTCATGTCGCGGCAGCCAGGTGCCCAGTGGTGGGACCATTTGTCCCTCCAAACGATCGTTGCCCGTTGCATGTTTGACCCCGCGCCCGTGACAGGTAATCCGAACCACACTGACATATCACACGTTCATTTGGTCCAAAGTACGGATCGACTAAAAGTGTGCTTATAATGCGATGCAAACTCATCCGACGGGCCGACATTTGATACGACAAATTGGAAGATACCCCACAGTTGCTGTGATCTTGCGATTTCCTATTGCATCTCATAGCTTATAAACTATGGTAGCATTAACTTATGTGCAATTGGCTTCTCCATTATATTAAGCTATCTATAACTGCAACATCCCAATGTGCTTTTCTTTTGTATTCGTTTTTAAAAGGTGTCACATATTGTTCTTATGAGAATATATACCATTTCTAAAAGCTATATTTGCTTTGTACCATTTTTTACAACATAGCTACAAAATTTACTATTCAGAAGTTTCAGAAATTTACTAATGATCCATACATGGCATTAGTCATCAACTTAACAACTTGCTGTAATCTGCCTTTACTCTTCACTTCCATGTGACAAGCATCAGACTGCAAAGGTGGCTTGCCAAATGGTTTTTTTGGTGGAAACAGTTAATTATATTTGATAAATATTTTAAAAAAGCAGGCTTTATCCAGGGAAAATAACTGTTTCAAGGACAAGGTTGAGGTTAGCTTCACAAAGGCAAATTGCTAGTCCAATGCATGGCCTCTTTTTCTTGCCACAATTTGATTGGCATACCCTGCAAGGAATTAAACAGCACTGATTAGAAAGGTCTTCAGATAAAGCAATCAAAATATGACTTGTATGAGAGCAATTTCCTGCATTTTATCAAACCTCTGAGAATTTATCAACTCCTATACCTAGATGAACTGATTTCAATGTGTTTGTGCCTGCCATTGTTTGCAGAATGTGTTTTAAAGCCGTCTATAGAGCTTTTAGGCTGGCCAAATATGGGTCATCAGTGTCTATTTTGAAAAGAAAAGATATTTTTCCTGTCATCCGATCCATGTCAAGGTCAGTCCACGTCCTCCAATTGATGGATGTTCTAATTTCTAGTTGATTAACCTTAAGATGAGGAAGAAATCATGTAACTGTAAGTAAACCCAAATAGTGCAAAATATTCTTCAAATTAATTCCTGAAATAATGGCATGAATTTCATGGATTGGTAAACAAACTTAACCACTCATTTGCGTATACCAAACCCCTAAATATACAGTCTTCTTTTTAATTTTTCGATAGATTTTAAACTTACCATGTCATTTTGGAACTATAGCTCCAACAGTTCCTTCTGTACAGATGGCAGCCTTACTTAATGTAAATGATGCCTTCATCTTCATCATCCATATCCCCATCTCCATCTTCTTCAGATGAATTCAGGGGTTCAAGCTGTTTAACATCATTACCTTTTGAACTCTTCTTCTCTTCTTTTAACCTATCCAATATTGCCAACACCTGCAGGAGAAATTTTGAGTGACTGTAGGCTGAACAAAGTTATTTTGGTTGATCAACCACAAAAATATAGTAATATAAGAAAAACTCTGTATAATTCTTTTAGCTAATGATTGATGATGTGTGTGATACACTGTAAACCTTGTCCTGTTTACCTGACTTTAGCTTAATAGCTTGACATAAACATATACTTGGTAATTACAAAGCTTTCTTTACTTCAAATTGCTAAGCCATACAAATCAAGAAAAGGTTCCTATCATCATGTTGAGGTTCTAATCATGGATTTATTTTGCCCCCCCACTCAACTAATCAAACAAGAAGAATTGCCTTTTTCAGATTTTTCAAAGAAAAAAATTGCAACATACAAAGAAATCAACAAAATTTTCAAAATAAAAAAAGTGAGTTGGATTTCAGCTTTGTTCTGTTTCTCTTTTACAACAGATATCAAACAACTTAATTTTCATGTTTTGAATTTCTAATTAAAAAGAAAAAAATGAAAGGTAAATGGACCTAAGTTTCAAAATCTTCTAAATTCAGTGAAGAAAACAATAGCATCATTTACCATTAACAAGAAGTGAAGAGAGAGAAAGATAACCCAAAATCTTACAAGACAAGCCCTGAAGGCATAAACTTGGAATTGCCTAAAAGGGCATGACTAATATTAATTGCAATTAGGCAACTTGCAGTTTGGAAATGCCGATCAGTCTAATTTACGATAGCTGATAAATTGATCTACAAGAAGACAAGGCATGAAAACAATTATAAGCTAGCTGTGGAGCTTAGCTGCATGGATCTTTTCCTTCTGTTGAGTTTTTCAAGAGCAATATTACTAGGTAATTCAAGAGCATCAAGTAATAAGCAAGAAGAGTAAAAGTTAAAAAACAAACAACTAAAGGACCAATCACGAAGCAACTAAGAGAAATACTACAACTGCTACACTTACATTGATGCAGCCAAGAGAAATAAATTATAACAAGCCCAATAAAGAAAATATAGCTTAAAGAAAGGTGCCATCATAAAGTGATGAATAGATTTACCCTGCTTCCTCTTTCTAGGGACTCATCCTCGATAAAACGTATTTCGGGAGTCAGGCGCAACTTCATACGTCTCCCCAGTTCACTACGCACATACTTGGCTTTCGACTTGAGTCCAGCAATAGCAACCTCTCTTCCTCGTTCATCACCAAAGACCGACACATATACCTTAACAACCTACAAGGACAAGTGGATAAAAAAGGATAACTTGAGTGCTATATCCGTTGCCATGTTAAATAATTGTGTAGTATAGTTATCAAAGTAAAAAAAAAACTTAATAAGTTCATTAGCATACAGTAATATAAGATTTATATATTAGTGGATAAATTAGTTATTTTGATCCAAAAGTGTCTTTTGAAATTTGCATCAACGTTTGCATGAGCAGAATGGGTCCAGCCATTCCATGCCAAGTATAACACCAAGGCAATAATGGTGGTTCATACTAAAGACCTCAACCAAATCCATCCTTTGACCGTTTATTAGGAGAAGGTTAAGATAAAATAGATACAAAATATATGTACTGAAAAATGAGGAGAATTGTATAGGAAATAAATAACCCTTCTCAAAATGGTGAGAACAGCTATGCTTTAAAATGCCCAGAAATTACGAACAATTTCAAGTATTTGGTCCTTGGAAACCAGGCAAATTTCCTTTTTCACGTAAGTAAACCTTTTGAAGATCGAGGGGCCTTTGCCCATTGCGCAATGGACCATATTAATAGAATTTTAAGTCATGATTATTAGGCAGATGCAAGTAGAACCTTCAAACGACTACTTGAGATTCAAACACGGGTATTAGTTTAGAACAAGTGCGCATGGTTGGGGAAAGAGGGTTTTCGTCCAGACAGGTTTTGGGTTAGATGACTGATATCCCATTTACCAAAATCCATTATCTATTTTAACTGAATTAATGTTTGATTGGATGGTCCAAGAATATTAAATGTGTTAGACGACACGCTATGATAACCAAGGATTGATGAAAACCTATGGACGATTTGTTTCACAGAAGCCATCCTTATTGACTATGCCCCAATTTGGCCTAAGTTGTCACTTGCCAACATAACATTATCCTAGCATCAACCCTAAAGTTTTGTGCCAATCTGTACCTCAAGCAACCAAAAAAGTCTCCTAAGTTAATCTTCCACCAACGCAAAAATATTTTCGAGAGGACTAAGAAATTTACACTTGTAGAACCACCTGCAAAGGAAAAAAAATATATCTTTTTGCTTAAAATAAGATCTGTTATATGGTCGTCTTTAACAGACGAACTAGTAAAGATCACATCCGTCAACCATAAGAAGTATCGAATAGGTCGAAAGAATGGATTTTGAATCACCTGGAGGTCGCCGGAGACCTCAACGCCGCTAATGGTGGTGAGGGAGGAGAGGTAGCGATCGGCGCCCAGGGATGCCTCAGGCAGGACGGCGTACTGGAGGACCTTGTCAGTGAGCAACATATCGGACAGCTCCCTTTGGATCTGCTTCGCCACCATCTTCACCCGCCGCTGGTTCGCCATGCACCGAACCGACGCACCTCCTCCCACTCTTGTTGACGCCGCGAGATTAGGGTTCGTCCAGCTCCGGTGCGGTAGGAGGAGCTGGTGGCGGCCGCCATTCCCTCCCGCGGTGGTCGCGAAAGGGGCGGCGAGAGTCAGAGGAGACGGGGGCGACCGACTCAATGACATGGTTGGGGATTGCCGTGCTTGTTGAATGACCGAGATATGATGGGAGCGGAAAAAGAAATCACCGGAGAAAGGAGAGGGCGGAGACGATTTCTGGATCGTTGGATGGATCGAGAGATCAATACGGACGGCTATTATTATTGCATATGAGGTTATTGCCGGAATACTGGAGAGAGGTAACAAATAAATCTTATAATGTGTTTAATTTCCTTTTTAATTCTATAAATATATTCCAGAAATTATTAAATTGTTATTCGAAAAATATCCTGAGGTCGAAATTTAGATAAAATAGAGAGAAAAAAGTGATGCCATATTTTACGATAACATTTATTTCATGCTAGACGGTATAAAAAAATATTCTTAATATTCATAATAATCGAATAAGTATTTTGATTTGTCTCAATATCAATCAGTTTTAATGAGCGGTGGAGATTAACTTTTTTTTTTGTTTTGCAGAATTGTACTTAATTTTGAGGAATAAATACAAAAATCAGTAACTTGTGAGGACTTATATGTAATTTGGCAACCAGTAAATTAAATGAATAGGTATTTGTTATCGGCCCGATTGCTTTGGGCTTCCCATTCTACTTCGTCGCCTTGAGATTATTCTTCGGCTGCGATCGTCCGTGGTCGCCAGGAGACGACGAAGCTCGAGGCAAGTCACCGATCAAAGAAGTTCTTCTCATCAATGCCGCTCGGTGGTTCCGGTGGATCAGGCATCGTTGGTGAGAAATCTCACCCCTTCCTCTCCCCTCCTCTTCTCATCTCTATCGTTTCTTCTAATCAAGATTAGGGGTTCCAGTTAGATCTATGCATAAATCAAGATTAGGGGTTCCGCGAATCGGAACCTAAAAGATTATTTTCGCGGCCTGATCGTTCTTTCGTATTTGAGAAGGTTGAAAGGATCGCAAATTGATGCCCAGGAGGGAAACAATTCGGTGATACGTCTTGGTGGGGCATCAATGATGTATCTTTAATAGGTTTCTGGCTTTTGGTAGCTTTTTCACACTTAATAGCGAGGCCCGGGTGTTGGCAGCATGACCTGGAATGGATGCTACTCGTTGGATGATTTGTGACACATATATGTTCACCTTATCTTGTCTTAGACTTTTAAGAGTATATGTAAGCTCGCTATGCATGAGAAGTGACAAACAAGATATGGCAATGTTGTTGGAGAGGGATCATCGCTTTTGTTTGTTCCAGCTATCGATATCAGAATTCCTCTATGATTACTGTTGAGGATCTCTGCTTGGCACCCTTAATGTAGTTACCTTTGTTGCCAATAACAGTAAGAACATTCTTGTTACCTTTTATTTGATGGAAATTCGAGTTGGAGAAAAGAGACCGGATGCAGAAGGCTTTATTTGAATTTTATCAAGATTCATCAAAGACATCTTGTTAGACTTGTTATCATGGCATACTTTGATATGACCCCATTGATTTTTGTGACTAGTTTGAAAGCACTAGCCATGCTTCCTTAGCACATTGCAAAGATAATTTGGTATGGTACTGCTTGAACCCCCACTCAGCAGTGCAGCGGCACAAGGATTGGCTCATATATTTATACACATCCTACACTGAATTGCCTTTGAAGTCTTTTAAAATCTTTTCCTCAAACTTATGCCCTCTTTTATGAAGGTTCACATGGAACTAAGTTCATGAACATTTTCATCTAATCCTAGAATTTCAATCTCCATTAGGAAATGCACTTCAGTGTATCTTGTTTTCTTTCTTTTCAGGCTCTTGAAGTTCTTGAACTAACACCCTCTTGCTTTACACTCATCCATGTCATGTAAAATTTCCATATAGGCTGCTAATTGTCCTTACCACTAGTAAATATATCTGTTACATGTGTAAACCATGTCGGCTTTTTACACTCACATACACAACTCTAAACTTACAATGAGGGATTGATGAGTAAGTTCCCTGACTTTGGGTGACAATTGTTAAGCCAAACATTAAACAAGATTTCTATGTCATTTAGGGATGGATGTTCATAGTTATCCTCATTGTGGAAACAAAGTCAAACTTTTGAGAAGATAATACAAGCACGATAAGTATAAAATTGTATATGTTGCATGAGGAGACATGCCTGACATCCACCGAGATATTTATATCCAAATATGCTAATATGCCTGATTAATTACATGCATGAGGTGATCTAGGTGATTAGTTTATTTACGGCTTGGTGCTAGCTCAGGGACAGTGGTATAGGCCATTTTGGCAGTATTTAAAGGAGCTTGAGGCAAGAAAGGCTTGTATAAGTCTAGGTGCTAGCCATTTTACCCTGGCAGTTGTACATAATGGCAACACTAGAAGGAAAAAGGCAGGAGCGAACCATGTAGCTGACAAGTGAGAACAAAGGCAGGAGGATCCCTAGATATAGGATCTGTCATCTATTGAGTCAGGATTTTGTGAGAAATGGATGTTCTCAAAGAAGAAATATTAATAAAGATAATTTTCTATGTAAGTTCTCAGCAAGACTAATTGTTAAATCAAGGGTTTTACTGAAGATCTCTTTCTTCCAGCCTGGCGGTTGCAGGTGGTTTCTGAAGTTGCAGCTTTTCTGGCCAGGTAGACTGGGAATAATATAAGATTCAATAAGATATCAAAGCAATGAAAGCAAGAATTTTATCAGTTTATAGAAGTATAAATATACATTAGAGAGGTTATAGCAAATGTTTAGTTTTGCCTGAAATAGATGTCAGAGGGTTCCGAACTTATGGGTCCCAACACAAATCCACTCAATTGAGCTGGGTTTCCCTCAACCTATAAAAGATGTTACTGGGGTCGGCGTGTGCTTTTGGAAAGAAGATGATTTTTAGCATTTTGTACTGATTAGTTTTGGTTGATAATTGGTTTTGTTTCATGGTGATAGAGATGGCAATGGCTCCCAGCCCCCAGTCTTCATCTGAAGCTGATTCAATTGGGGTGGGTTTCAGAGGGATCGGGCCATTTTTGGGAAATATGATGATTTTCAATAGTAACTTCCCAGTTTTATTTGAAAAGAGGGATCTAGGAGCAACCAACCAGTTTTGGCGGTGTTGATTCGATTACATGGGAAAAGCGATGGTAATGAGCCCTGAAGCCAGTACAACTGCATGGCCAGGTTCAGACAACCTCCCATCCTTTTTCCCTTCTCCCTCTTATCTTCCACAACTTTCTCTCTTCTGTGTTCTCTCTTTCACTCTGGGAAGCCACCTGTTGTGGGCTGTTCCTGACTACTTCAAAATAGTTCGTCCTGCAGTTAAGCTTACCATTTAGAACTTCTGGATCAGTATCTTAGTTGTTTGGATTTCTCCATTTATTAGTATTTTCACCATGTTGTATGAACCATTGTCATTCATGTACATCACTTCGTTTTGTCTTTTGTTCTTCCTGTTATTGGCCTAGGGTCAGTGCTAGCTGTTTGACCCGTTGGGCACTCCCAATTAGGTGGAGCATAAGCTGGCTTCTTTGGCCATAAATGAAGAGGATGGTCCTACACATCATACTGCTTGTGCAGTTAGTATTTCCTAATTATGTATAGTAGGAAAACAAGGATGACATTGTTTGGACCAGTTTAGTGAAATCTTGCACTTAAAAAAAACACTTCCTAATAATTTATCTTGGTGTTTGTGCCTTCTTTTTTTTCTTAATTTGTTGTCTTTCTTTTTACATGATTAATCTGTTTCTATTTGTGTCAATCATCTTCTCAGTTATTCTGTTTTGGGTGGAACTAATGTTTGTACCGTTCCTGCCCTGAACCTCTCAAACTTCAAAAGTATTAGGATACGTACTTGGAGACCTAAGTTGATATTACAATTTTCACATAGGCTTTTGTTTGCTACACATTCTTTTCATTTTAGATCACAGTTACGCATCATTCAATAGCATTATCTTCATTCACTTTGCATGCAGTTCCTCGGAACTTCAGATTGCTTGAAGAACTTGAACGAGGAGAAAAGGGCGTAGGAGATGGAACTGTAAGCTATGGCATGGATGATGGAGATGACATTTACATGCGCTCGTGGACTGGGACAATAATTGGTCCTCATAATGTAAGAGACTCCAGTTTTAACTTAAATATCTTGCCATAATTGAACTACGCTCATCTCTTGCACTAGTACTTTTTTACAGACTGTCCATGAGGGTCGCATCTATCAGCTCAAGTTGTTTTGCAACAAGGACTATCCTGATAAACCACCAAGTGTTCGATTTCATTCACGGGTTAACATGACTTGTGTCAATCCTGACACTGGAGTGGTAAATCTATGCAGCTTAGAATGGATTTACAGATATAGAAGCTTTTATGGAATTATTTTTATTGGAAACAAACTGATATTTTGATAAATAAATCCAGGTGGATCCGAGAAAATTTTCAGTTCTAGGGAACTGGGAACGTGACTACACAATGGAGTATATTTTAACACAGCTTAAGAAAGAAATGGCGGCACCACATAACCGTAAATTAGTGCAGCCTCCAGAGGGCACACACTTCTAAGACAATGGGTTTCACCATTGCAAATTCAGATGAAGGGGATGACTTTCATGTATTATTTTATCATCAAACGGTAGTTTGTTTACCTCATGCTTGGGATTGTAGTTTGGGTGGTTATATGTATCGGTGTAGACGCTACTGCACCATTGGTAAAATGTGACTTAGATAAATGTCTTATGTATTGCCTTGTTATAATCTTTTTCTTGGTTTTTACAAGGTAAAGGTGTTGTCTCTTTTGTGGAGAAGCAAGTTGAGTCTAAGCAATGACTTAACCACCGTCATTTCAGTCGTATTGTTGAGTGGCTGATGCGTATTGCATATGAATCAGCAAAATTAGTTTCTTGGACTATGTTCTACAGTGGAGCTCGACCAAATCTGATGTGACAAATGTCTTTTGTTTACTTACTCTTATGTGTTTTTTATCTTTTATCGGCGGCATAATTCTTTGATGTTATATTTCTCTGATCTCATGTTACCAGAATTTGCCAGATTGGTTGGATGAGACGAAAGCTTATTGGATGAACCATGGAGTTATCCTTTAATAGGCTGTGCTCATCTAATTGGGCCTACCAATTCCTCTTCCTC